CTCATCTGGTGCCTTCGGGAGGTAGAGATGTTTGAGATATATATATCTCGAACTATCTACTTCTTTTGTAAGGTCTGATGGCGTAGTGGGTTAAAGCATACTAGTTATGCCAGCTACTGGAAGGTAGTTGTGCTTTCTGGGTTCGAGTCCCACTGGTGGGTGTTGTCCAAAGATTGTTTATCTTCACTTGTGGTTTATGCAAGTATAGGCTTATAAGCTGGACACGAGTTCTCTCACATTGACAGTGGCTTGACGAAAATTGCAGACTGACCCCTCACTCATCTGGTGCCTTCGGGAGGTAGAGATGTTTGAGATATATATATCTCGAACTATCTACTTCTTTTGTAAGGTCTGATGGCGTAGTGGGTTAAAGCATACTAGTTATGCCAGCTACTGGAAGGTAGTTGTGCTTTCTGGGTTCGAGTCCCACTGGTGGGTGTTGTCCAAAGATTGTTTATCTTCACTTGTGGTTTATGCAAGTATAGGCTTATAAGCTGGACACGAGTTCTCTCACATTGACAGTGGCTTGACGAAAATTGCAGACTGACCCCTCACTCATCTGGTGCCTTCGGGAGGTAGAGATGTTTGAGATATATATATCTCGAACTATCTACTTCTTTTGTAAGGTCTGATGGCGTAGTGGGTTAAAGCATACTAGTTATGCCAGCTACTGGAAGGTAGTTGTGCTTTCTGGGTTCGAGTCCCACTGGTGGGTGTTGTCCAAAGATTGTTTATCTTCACTTGTGGTTTATGCAAGTATAGGCTTATAAGCTGGACACGAGTTCTCTCACATTGACAGTGGCTTGACGAAAATTGCAGACTGACCCCTCACTCATCTGGTGCCTTCGGGAGGTAGAGATGTTTGAGATATATATATCTCGAACTATCTACTTCTTTTGTAAGGTCTGATGGCGTAGTGGGTTAAAGCATACTAGTTATGCCAGCTACTGGAAGGTAGTTGTGCTTTCTGGGTTCGAGTCCCACTGGTGGGTGTTGTCCAAAGATTGTTTATCTTCACTTGTGGTTTATGCAAGTATAGGCTTATAAGCTGGACACGAGTTCTCTCACATTGACAGTGGCTTGACGAAAATTGCAGACTGACCCCTCACTCATCTGGTGCCTTCGGGAGGTAGAGATGTTTGAGATATATATATCTCGAACTATCTACTTCTTTTGTAAGGTCTGATGGCGTAGTGGGTTAAAGCATACTAGTTATGCCAGCTACTGGAAGGTAGTTGTGCTTTCTGGGTTCGAGTCCCACTGGTGGGTGTTGTCCAAAGATTGTTTATCTTCACTTGTGGTTTATGCAAGTATAGGCTTATAAGCTGGACACGAGTTCTCTCACATTGACAGTGGCTTGACGAAAATTGCAGACTGACCCCTCACTCATCTGGTGCCTTCGGGAGGTAGAGATGTTTGAGATATATATATCTCGAACTATCTACTTCTTTTGTAAGGTCTGATGGCGTAGTGGGTTAAAGCATACTAGTTATGCCAGCTACTGGAAGGTAGTTGTGCTTTCTGGGTTCGAGTCCCACTGGTGGGTGTTGTCCAAAGATTGTTTATCTTCACTTGTGGTTTATGCAAGTATAGGCTTATAAGCTGGACACGAGTTCTCTCACATTGACAGTGGCTTGACGAAAATTGCAGACTGACCCCTCACTCATCTGGTGCCTTCGGGAGGTAGAGATGTTTGAGATATATATATCTCGAACTATCTACTTCTTTTGTAAGGTCTGATGGCGTAGTGGGTTAAAGCATACTAGTTATGCCAGCTACTGGAAGGTAGTTGTGCTTTCTGGGTTCGAGTCCCACTGGTGGGTGTTGTCCAAAGATTGTTTATCTTCACTTGTGGTTTATGCAAGTATAGGCTTATAAGCTGGACACGAGTTCTCTCACATTGACAGTGGCTTGACGAAAATTGCAGACTGACCCCTCACTCATCTGGTGCCTTCGGGAGGTAGAGATGTTTGAGATATATATATCTCGAACTATCTACTTCTTTTGTAAGGTCTGATGGCGTAGTGGGTTAAAGCATACTAGTTATGCCAGCTACTGGAAGGTAGTTGTGCTTTCTGGGTTCGAGTCCCACTGGTGGGTGTTGTCCAAAGATTGTTTATCTTCACTTGTGGTTTATGCAAGTATAGGCTTATAAGCTGGACACGAGTTCTCTCACATTGACAGTGGCTTGACGAAAATTGCAGACTGACCCCTCACTCATCTGGTGCCTTCGGGAGGTAGAGATGTTTGAGATATATATATCTCGAACTATCTACTTCTTTTGTAAGGTCTGATGGCGTAGTGGGTTAAAGCATACTAGTTATGCCAGCTACTGGAAGGTAGTTGTGCTTTCTGGGTTCGAGTCCCACTGGTGGGTGTTGTCCAAAGATTGTTTATCTTCACTTGTGGTTTATGCAAGTATAGGCTTATAAGCTGGACACGAGTTCTCTCACATTGACAGTGGCTTGACGAAAATTGCAGACTGACCCCTCACTCATCTGGTGCCTTCGGGAGGTAGAGATGTTTGAGATATATATATCTCGAACTATCTACTTCTTTTGTAAGGTCTGATGGCGTAGTGGGTTAAAGCATACTAGTTATGCCAGCTACTGGAAGGTAGTTGTGCTTTCTGGGTTCGAGTCCCACTGGTGGGTGTTGTCCAAAGATTGTTTATCTTCACTTGTGGTTTATGCAAGTATAGGCTTATAAGCTGGACACGAGTTCTCTCACATTGACAGTGGCTTGACGAAAATTGCAGACTGACCCCTCACTCATCTGGTGCCTTCGGGAGGTAGAGATGTTTGAGATATATATATCTCGAACTATCTACTTCTTTTGTAAGGTCTGATGGCGTAGTGGGTTAAAGCATACTAGTTATGCCAGCTACTGGAAGGTAGTTGTGCTTTCTGGGTTCGAGTCCCACTGGTGGGTGTTGTCCAAAGATTGTTTATCTTCACTTGTGGTTTATGCAAGTATAGGCTTATAAGCTGGACACGAGTTCTCTCACATTGACAGTGGCTTGACGAAAATTGCAGACTGACCCCTCACTCATCTGGTGCCTTCGGGAGGTAGAGATGTTTGAGATATATATATCTCGAACTATCTACTTCTTTTGTAAGGTCTGATGGCGTAGTGGGTTAAAGCATACTAGTTATGCCAGCTACTGGAAGGTAGTTGTGCTTTCTGGGTTCGAGTCCCACTGGTGGGTGTTGTCCAAAGATTGTTTATCTTCACTTGTGGTTTATGCAAGTATAGGCTTATAAGCTGGACACGAGTTCTCTCACATTGACAGTGGCTTGACGAAAATTGCAGACTGACCCCTCACTCATCTGGTGCCTTCGGGAGGTAGAGATGTTTGAGATATATATATCTCGAACTATCTACTTCTTTTGTAAGGTCTGATGGCGTAGTGGGTTAAAGCATACTAGTTATGCCAGCTACTGGAAGGTAGTTGTGCTTTCTGGGTTCGAGTCCCACTGGTGGGTGTTGTCCAAAGATTGTTTATCTTCACTTGTGGTTTATGCAAGTATAGGCTTATAAGCTGGACACGAGTTCTCTCACATTGACAGTGGCTTGACGAAAATTGCAGACTGACCCCTCACTCATCTGGTGCCTTCGGGAGGTAGAGATGTTTGAGATATATATATCTCGAACTATCTACTTCTTTTGTAAGGTCTGATGGCGTAGTGGGTTAAAGCATACTAGTTATGCCAGCTACTGGAAGGTAGTTGTGCTTTCTGGGTTCGAGTCCCACTGGTGGGTGTTGTCCAAAGATTGTTTATCTTCACTTGTGGTTTATGCAAGTATAGGCTTATAAGCTGGACACGAGTTCTCTCACATTGACAGTGGCTTGACGAAAATTGCAGACTGACCCCTCACTCATCTGGTGCCTTCGGGAGGTAGAGATGTTTGAGATATATATATCTCGAACTATCTACTTCTTTTGTAAGGTCTGATGGCGTAGTGGGTTAAAGCATACTAGTTATGCCAGCTACTGGAAGGTAGTTGTGCTTTCTGGGTTCGAGTCCCACTGGTGGGTGTTGTCCAAAGATTGTTTATCTTCACTTGTGGTTTATGCAAGTATAGGCTTATAAGCTGGACACGAGTTCTCTCACATTGACAGTGGCTTGACGAAAATTGCAGACTGACCCCTCACTCATCTGGTGCCTTCGGGAGGTAGAGATGTTTGAGATATATATATCTCGAACTATCTACTTCTTTTGTAAGGTCTGATGGCGTAGTGGGTTAAAGCATACTAGTTATGTCAGCTACTGGAAGGTAGTTGTGCTTTCTGGGTTCGAGTCCCACTGGTGGGTGTTGTCCAAAGATTGTTTATCTTCACTTGTGGTTTATGCAAGTATAGGCTTATAAGCTGGACACGAGTTCTCTCACATTGACAGTGGCTTGACGAAAATTGCAGACTGACCCCTCACTCATCTGGTGCCTTCGGGAGGTAGAGATGTTTGAGATATATATATCTCGAACTATCTACTTCTTTTGTAAGGTCTGATGGCGTAGTGGGTTAAAGCATACTAGTTATGCCAGCTACTGGAAGGTAGTTGTGCTTTCTGGGTTCGAGTCCCACTGGTGGGTGTTGTCCAAAGATTGTTTATCTTCACTTGTGGTTTATGCAAGTATAGGCTTATAAGCTGGACACGAGTTCTCTCACATTGACAGTGGCTTGACGAAAATTGCAGACTGACCCCTCACTCATCTGGTGCCTTCGGGAGGTAGAGATGTTTGAGATATATATATCTCGAACTATCTACTTCTTTTGTAAGGTCTGATGGCGTAGTGGGTTAAAGCATACTAGTTATGCCAGCTACTGGAAGGTAGTTGTGCTTTCTGGGTTCGAGTCCCACTGGTGGGTGTTGTCCAAAGATTGTTTATCTTCACTTGTGGTTTATGCAAGTATAGGCTTATATATATATATATATATATATTGTTCGTATTGTATTTATTTATCTTTTAATATTTATTGTTCGTGACCACACTGGCAGCATCAACAGAAGGGGGTGTGAGGGTGTACCGGCGGTGTCTGTACTGCAACAACGGGGACCCGGACGTCCAACTTCTCCAGAACTTCAACGTTTACTCACCCGACCTTCCTTGGGACGACCTCTTCCAAGGTAAGTTCTCACTGCTAGAAGGGAGGTACTGTTCAAAATCTTCGTTTAATTAATAAATTTAAAGCGTATTGAAGGTTACGAAATCTCCAGACTGACCGTCAAAACAGCTGCGGTCGAAAAATATCACATGAGTGCCCGTTAGCATCATAATTTACTTCGAATATGTATGACAACCCCACATCTAATAAACCAGTCTGACCTTTTAATTAGCTCTAGTTTAAAGGTAGCTTTGAAAAGCTTTTGGACAAATCAAGTGACTCCTACAAGCATCATTTAAAAAAAAATTATGCACAAAATTAATAATTCAGGAAGAATATCTAATAATCCCTCAATAAATTTTCTTTGTTTCCTTATAAAATGTTCACTTTTCCTGTACACACTTCACCCTCGTGCAACCAGCAGCAACTGATAACCTGAGTGTGAGTTTATAACCAGGTCGTGTTATTGGAGCATTATTGGGATGTTAATAGATTATGCAGATGATGAGTCATAATAATGTGGCTGAAAAATGTTGACCAAACCACACACTAGAAATTGAAGCTTCGACGATGCTTTGGTCCGTCCTGGACCATTATCAAGTCGATAGTGATGAGGTAAGGGAGGCAAATACTTTTAATAGGCAAGAGAGAGGTGAGGAGATGGAAATCTTAGAAGAAGATAAGAGCAAGGAGAAAAGTACTGAAGAAAAGGTGTAATAAGTCGTAGTCTCCGTGGTGTAGTGGTAAGACACTCGCCTAGCGTTCCGCGAGCGCTATGTCATGGGTTCGTATCCTGACCGGGGAGGATTTACTGGGCGCAATTCCTTAACTGTAGCCTCTGTTTAACGCAACAGTAAAATGTGTACTTGGATGAAAAAACGATTCTTCGCGGTAGGGGATCGTATTCCAGGGACTTGCCCGAAACGCTGCACGCGTACTAGTGGCTGTACAAGAATGTAACAACTCTTGTATGTATCTAAAAAAAAAAATAAAGGATGTAATAATAGGAGTAAGAAAGAGATCATAAGAGAAAACAAGAGAAAGAAAGATGAAAGGAAGGGTAGTCTTATATTAGGTTACGTTTGTTAGAACGTTTAGAACATTTGAGTATATACTGAGAAAGGGAAGAGTCAACAGCAACAAAGCCAAGACTCATATTGGGTAGGATGTGTATCAGAGCTGATTCGACAAGACAGCGTCTGTGTAGAGTAGAGGCAGGAAATATTATTTTAGAGGAATACCAATCAATAGGATGATTAGAATCCCTAACATTACAGAAGAGAGCATTGTTTGTGTCTGCAGACTTAACACTTCTTTTGTGTTCCTTAAGTCTGTCATTTAGTGTACCGCCAGTTTCACCAAAGTATTGGAGTGGACAAGACGAACAGGAAATAGAGTAGACACCAGCGGCATTAGAAGCAGGAGGAAAAGTGTGAACTAGATGGCTACGAAGTGTATTAGTTTGTCGAAAGTAGAGCTTTATGTCAAGACGACGAAAGGTATTAGTAAGAGTTTTGAGTTCAGATATGAAGGGAAGGTACAGTACAGGGCTAATAATGTTGGAAGTAGATTTAGGATGAAAGAAATTTCTTTTAGTTTGAGAGTAGGCACAGTTGATAAAATGTAAGTGATAACCAAGACGAAAGAATGATTCGTAGAAAAATGAAATTTCAGAATCAAGAAATTGAGGGTTCTTGGAGTGTAATAACTCATGAAGCGTGGAGAGGACTCTTATTTTGAGTATTCTTCTGCTCGTAAAAGTAGTTATACTATTATTATTGCTTATCTATTTAATTGCATTCTTATTGCATACCTATTGAAGTACGACTTCAATATCATACCAACTTACTTGCTTAGTACATAAGTATATCAGGTGGTAAATTCATTCACATAATTATTTAAAATTAAGAAAAAGCAAAGAATTACATTAGACCTGAGCGCCTTCTGGTGTGCTGCAATATTTCTTCCGCAACTTTTGTTGTGAACATTTAACACATTTCTTCCACAAACTTTTATTAATTTTTGCTGCAATATGTTTCACAAACTCAGAGATATTTTTTTTAAACCATCCGTAGTTATTGTACGTTATTAGTTATTGTAAGTGTTCATAATACATCTTTGCTTATACATTATAAAGCATTTTTGGGGAATAAAAATTAAATATATATTATTTTAATTTTAAATATATATTTTACAAAAATAACTTTAAAATAAAACTTACCTTACAGTGAGATAACTGTTTCATTTAATTTACAATTAAATACTCGGAAATAGCTGTGTATGGAGGACAGACGTTATTGTAGGAATAAGAAGTAAATCATATTCCCGAATATATTGGTTCAGAAGAATTTTCGATGAAAAGAATTCAACATAAACTAATTTTTCTTTCTATTAATTATATTCAAGATATATCCAACCGTTTCAGAAAGCTTGAAAGACTTCATGGGCAACAAGATGAAAGTAGTAACAGCATCTGTTGTCTTACCGTATCTTGACTACCAGCGAGTCAGCGAGACCCCCGGAACAGCCATTGTGTTGACCGACTCCACTGACGCCCGGCTCATCCACACCTTCGCCCACAAACTCAACTTCACGTAAGATTAAACCTGCCAACTAAAATGTTTGATTTAAAATGAGTTATTACAAACAAAGTACACACGCAAACACACACTGACACAATGATGGTCTGAAAATTATATTAGCCTTTATCCCTGATAAATGCAAGTTTATTAAGATAGAAACTGGAGTCAAATGACTCTAAATACCATACAGAATGAAGAGAAGACAATTTCCATTCTCTGATCCCTTCTCTCCCTCCCACAAATAATAATAATAATAACTTAGGAGTGAACATGACGAAAAATCTAATACCAGAGGAACACATGAGCAGAATAACGACAGCAGCATATGCCATTCTAACACACGTCTGGTTACCTTCAACAACCTGTATAAAGATCCCTTCCGAGCACTGTAAACATCCTTTGTGACACATATTATTGAGTATTTTGCACCAGCTTGGAACTCCTATCTAATGAAACACAAATTGAACTAGAAATGGTCCAAAAATATATATCACGGCTCACTCCTAAGCCTTGCTCTATATTATTTATGAGCTATAGGGCCAGAACTATGAATAAAGACTGAGAGAACTGGACTTCTAAACACTGAAGAAAAGAGAGAATAAGGCAGATAGAATAACGATGGACAAGAATCTAAGAAGGATTGAAAAAGAAGACATGAATGCACAGTTCAAATGATAAAACAGTAGAAGAAGAAGAATTCAGAGGCAGCTAGAAACACAGATAAGTTACAAATATGGGAGTAAATGAGGTAGTTTTCGAAAAAACTTCACTACGCAGTTTTCAATTTAAATATGATAAGAAAACTAGTGAAATTTATCATAGAACTAAACTAACAATGCTCAAAAAGCGGGACAGAGTCAAATATATCGACCCTCCCGACCCTCCAAGAACAGACAGGTGAGTACGCGCGCGCGCGCGCACACACACACACACAAACAACACACACACACACACACACACACACACACACACACACACACACACACACACACACACACACACACACACACACACACACACATTCTTGGATTGTCGGAAAGCCTTTGACACAGTACCGCATAAGAGGCTGGTACATAAGCTAGAGAGACAGGCAGGTGTAGCTGGTAAGGTGCTCCAGTGGATAAGGGAGTACCTAAGCAATAGGAAGCAGAGAATTACGGTGAGGGGTGAGACCTGTGATTGGCGTGAAGTCACCAGTGGAGTCCCACAGGGCTCTGTACTCGGTCCTATCTTGTTTCTGATATATGTAAATGATCTCCCGGAGGGTATCGATTCATTTCTCTCAATGTTTGCGGACGATGCTAAAATTATGAGAAGGATTAAAACAGAAGAGGACTGTTTGAGGCTTCAAAAAGACCTAGACAAGCTGAAGGAATGGTCGAACAAATGGTTGTTAGAGTTTATCCCAACCAAATGAAATGTAATGAAGATAAGTGTAGGGAGCAGGAGGCCAGATACAAGGTATCATCTGGCAGAGTAAATTCTTCAGGAGTCAGAGAAAGAAAAAGACTTGGGGGTTGATATCACGCCAGACCTGTCTCCTGCAGCACATATCAAGAGGATAACATCAGCGGCATATGCCAGGCTGGCCATCATACGAACGGCATTCAGAAACTTGTGTAAAGAATCATTCAGAACATTGTATACCACATATGTTAGGCCAATCCTGGAGTATGCAGCCCCAGCATGGAGTCCATATCTAGTCAAGGACAAGACTAAACTGGAAAAGGTTCAAAAGTTTGCCACCAGACTAGTACCCGAGCTGAGAGGTATGAGGTACGAGGAGAGACTACGAGAATTAAACTTCACTTCGCTGGAAGACAGAAGAGTTAGGGGGGACATGATCACCACATTCAAGATTCTGAAGGGAATTGATAGGGTAGATAAAGACAGGCTATTTAACACATGGGGACACAGGTGGAAACTGAGTGCCCAAATGAGCCACAGAGATATTAGAAAGCACTTTTTTAGTGTCAGAGTGGTTGACAAATGGAATGCATTAGGAAATGATGTGGTGGAGGCTGACTCCATACACAGTTTCAAGTGTAGATATGATAGAGCCCAATAGGCTCAGGAATCTGTACACCTGTTGATTGACGGTTGAGAGGCGGGACCAAAGAGCCAGAGCTCAACCCCCGGGAACACAACTAGGTGAGTACACACACACACACACACACACACACACACACACACACACACACACACACACACACACACACACACACACACACACACACACACACACACACACAGGAAGGAGCAGAAGAACTGTGCCTCCCGCTCTCCATGGTGTATAACAAATCACTGGCAACAGGGGAACTGCCAGAAATTTGGAAAGCAGCTAACGTAGTCCCGATATACAGGAAAGGGGATAGACAGGAGGCACTGAATTACAGACCAGTGTCCCTAACCTGCATACCATGCAAGATGATGGAGAAGATTGTGCGAAGAAAGCTAGTGGAGCACCTGGAGCGAAAGAACTTTGTAACACAGCATCAACATGGATTCAGGGATGGCAGGTCCTGCCTCACAGGGTTACTTGAATTCTACGACCAGGCAACAAAAATAAGGCAAGAAAGAGAAGGGTGGGCAGACTGCATATTTTTGGATTGTCAGAAAGCCTTTGACACAGTGCCACACAAGAGGCTAGTGAAAAAACTGGAGATGCAGGCTGGAGTGAAAGGGAAGGTACTCCGTTAGATACAGGAGTACCTAAGTAACAGGAGACAACGAGTCAGTGTGAGGGGTGAGGTCTCAGATTGGCGAGACGTTACGAGTGGAGTACCGCAGGGGTCAGTCCTTGGACCTATACTGTTTCTGATATATGTAAATGATCTTCCAGAGGGTATAGAATCGTTTCTCTCAATGTTTGCCGATGATGCAAAAATTATGAGGAGGATTGAAACTGAGGACGATAGTAGGAGGCTACAAGATGACCTAGACAGACTGAGTGAATGGTCCAACAAATGGCTGTTGAAGTTCAACCCGAGTAAATGCAAAGTAATGAAACTAGGTGGTGGAAATAGGAGGCCAAACACAGGATACAGAATAGGAGATGAAGTACTTAATGAAACGAACAGAGAGAAAGATCTAGGAGTTGATATCACACCAAACCTGTCTCCTGAAGCCCACATAAAAAGAATAACGTCTGCGGCATATGCGAGGCTGGCTAACATCAGAACAGCGTTCAGGAACCTGTGTAAGGAATCATTCAGAATCTTGTACACCACATATGTAAGACCAATCCTGGAGTATGCGGCCCCAGCATGGAGCCCGTACCTTGTCAAGCACAAGACGAAGCTGGAAAAAGTCCAAAGGTATGCCACTAGACTAGTCCCAGAACTAAGAGGCATGAGTTACGAGGAAAGGCTGCGGGAAATGCACCTTACGACACTGGAAGACAGAAGAGTAAGGGGAGACATGATCACAACCTACAAAATCCTCAGAGGAATCGACCGGGTAAACAAGGATAAACTATTCAACACTGGTGGGACGCGAACAAGGGGACACAGGTGGAAACTGAGTACCCACATGAGCCACAGAGACGTTAGATGGAACTTTTTCAGTGTCAGAGTAGTTAACGGATGGAATGCATTAGGCAGTGATGTGGTGGAGGCTGACTCCATACACAGTTTTAAATGTAGATATGATAGAGCCCAGTAGGTTCAGGAATCTGTACACCAGTTGATTGACAGTTGAGAGGCGGGACCAAAGAGCCAATGCTCAACCCCCACAACCACAAATAGGTGAGTACACACACACACACACACACACACACACACACACACACACACACACACACACACACACACACACACACAGATACAAGGTATCATCTGGGAGAGGAAATTCTTCAGGAGTCAGAGAAGGAAAAAGACTTGGGGGTTGATATCACGCCAGACCTGTCTCCTGCAGCACATATCAAGCGGATAACATCAGCGGCATATGCCAGGCTGGCCAACATACGAACGGCATTCAGAAACTTGTGTAAAGAATCATTCAGAACTTTGTATACCACATATGTCAGGCCAATCCTGGAGTATGCAGCCCCAGCATGGAGTCCATATCTAGTCAAGGATAAGACTAAACTGGAAAAGGTTCAAAGGTTTGCCACCAGACTAGTACCCGAGCTGAGAGGTATGAGCTACGAGGAGAGACTACGGGAATTAAACCTCACTTCGCTGGAAGACAGAAGAGTTAGGGGGGACATGATCACCACATTCAAGATTCTGAAGGGGATTGATAGGGTAGATAAAGACAGTCTATTTATCACAAGGGGAACACGCACAAGGGGACACAGGTGGAAACTGAGTGCCCAAATGAGCCACAGAGATATTAGAAAGAACTTTTTTAGTGTCAGAGTGGTTGACAAATGGAATGCATTAGGGGGTGATGTGGTGGAGGCTGACTCCATACACAGTTTCAAGTGTAGATATGATAGAGCCCAATAGGCTCAGGAATCTGTACACCTGTTGATTGACGGTTGAGAGGCGGGACCAAAGAGCCAGAGCTCAACCCCCGCAAACACAACTAGGTGAGTACACACACACACACACACACACACATACATGCACACACACACACACACACACACACACACACACACACACACACACACACACACACACACACACACACACACACACACACACACACACACACACACACACACACACACACACACTCTCTCTCTCTCTCTCTCTCTCTCTCTCTCTCTCTCTCTCTCTCTCTCTCTCTCTCTCTCTCTCTCTCTCTCTCTCTCTCTCTCTCTCTCTCTCTCTCTCTCTCCATGTATCTGGAGGACCAAATACATAGAGATCTAAGATGTTTGACACGGTAACGAGAAAGTTTCTAAGCCAACACATCAAGGGACCAACAAGGATGAGAGGGGAAGATGAACTAGCCATACTTGATCTGATATTTATCCTAAATGAGTCGAATATAAGGGAAGTTGAGTTGGAAGCTCCCTTGGGAATGAGTGATCACAGTGTACCTTTGACATTGATCTTTGA